GCGAATTGTTTTGAATCTAGCTCCGTTTATCTCATCTAGTACCTGTACGTTACTTATGATATATAAATTACAGTATTTTCACTATGCGTGATAACAATAATTTTCTCCTGGTGTATGAATGTTTCAATAACCAAGATTCTAATGGCCGTATAAAATTTACTTCAGAACAAATTCAATATATCATTCGTTTTATCATTATTATTAAATGAGATACCGTTGTACATTCTGTTCACAGTATATATAGAAATACAGTACTCTAAAAATTACCTTAGCACTTCTTCATTAACTCCTACATCTATCTTTAGCATCATAATTTGTATATATCATAAGGCTGTAGGTTATTGCACTGATGTCGGACTACTCTGGGTGAAATCAGGCTTTTTTATCAGCATTCCTTAAAAAAGGATGTCAAATGTTTAATTGATTCTATATTTAAATTCCGCAAGTTTAGCCTCATCCCATCTTTTGATGATAATTACCCTATCTCGGTACTTGACGTTCCACTAGGTATATTTGAAAAAATTAGTTGATATATAAAGGTATGGGCCGAATGTATCGTTTTATAGAGGCAAAATCATAATAAAATTCTTGTGTAGATATATATCGGCAAGAACTATCCAGTGTTACAAACCATTGTAACGGAACGCACATGAGCCATTATGCATCTTAACTCTGACCTGGTTTCGTTGCCCATGACTCGCGGTTGTCAATACTTTAATAACTGCGTTGACTCGATGTCTCAATCAAGCAATGCAATGATAATCAAGGAGTTGATTGACATTGCAGCCAGCAGAAGTAATTTTTATTGGGGTCATCGGCTTCATTGACATGTTCACGGAATTTACAGAGATTAACTGCTTAATTAACCGCCAATTAAGCACCAACTCTCTGAGCAGTGGTTTGCTACTTTTCCAGTTCCTTGTCGATGACCAATGCCAATTTGATTGAGACGTTAGGGTAAATGTAAATTAATTTTTTTTTAACATTTTTATGCTGTCAGTCATGAGGTGAGAAGAAGTATTAGCCACAAGTCATCTACTGCATAGTGTCTAATGAGTCTAAAATAATTTGGCAAAATGTTTTCTGCCGTTTATACCGCTGCCATTTAGCTTTCTCAGTCTTAAAAATAGTTGCATTTTTAGATTCTTGACGAGGAAATTATTGGAAAAAAATGCATTCACGGCAAAGCACCTGACACCAGGGAGACAATCTCCAAACTTCCTCTAGCAAATCATCGTACAGGTAAATCACAAGCACTGTCGATCGTTTTTCTGAGAATTATGCTTCTTTCTACAGGTGAAAAGTTTTGGATATTGGACGAATCTAGCGTATTTGATGATGACCTGATAGACGAAGACGATTTGCTCACCGAAGATGATTACATGAAACCGGAGATATCTAGCAAAAGTGAAGACTTAATTTTTTCTTCTATTGTGCTATATTACACGACATTTATTTGTTTATTATAATAATCTGTTTTGGTTCAAGAGCGAATCGTACATTTTGCTTTAATCTCAAAACGTGGTCTAAATTTGATTTCAAGCATTCAGAAATTCTTACTGTTTTTTAAAATGTTTTTCAAAGCGAAAATCGATTAGGAACGAGGAAACTTCAGTGGCTGTAGGCACGAAAAAAAGTTGAAAGTCGCAGACTTTATTAAAAACTCGATATCCTCGTTAACAGCCATATTAAATTATTAGTTAGCTTTTTCTGTTGTTAAGGGCTACCCGTAGTTCATTCCTGTGATGTTGCATCGGATGTGGTCGTTGTTGTTGACTATATGACGTATCAGCCTGAGCGTTTGCCTGTCTACGAAGTTCAGCTGCCGCTAGCAGTTTTTTTTTTCATTTTTTCCAGGCATTCAGTTCAGTACAGATTTTGCAATTTTCTACGGTCCCCATTGTAGCCGATTTCTTTATTCATTGTATATTTTCCTAATTTGTTTTCTAATAGAAACAAGATGCCTGAATGTTGGGGCTACATGAACGAGATGGTCATCTCCCCTTACCGTACCGTTGGTGTGTATTCCGCTCTCCCAGCTGAAACAGCTTGTTATGCATTCTGTCTTGTTACTACTGAGATGAAGTCAGCTACTTCATTCACCGATTTTCTCTTCCAACGCGATATCTGTTCCCGCTATGCAGTACTCTGTCACAGCATTAACAATGAGGCTGTTTTTAGCCCTTAATTTCCGTATCGACCACCGTCGAAGAAACAATAGCCTCAGTGGCGTTTGTTCTGATTCCGTTGTTTAAAAGCATCTGAATTTTATGCGGATCTTTCACGATTGTTTCGATAATGGCAGAGGGCTTTTAAAGTCGATTTAGACGCACCTTTGAAAAACTGCGGTGACGTAAGCAAGAAGCGGCGGCCCTGTAAGAATTGCACTTGCGGTTTGGCCGAAAAATTTGAAAAAGAAGCAATAGACGAGCAAGCCTCAAATCCTAAATCGTCATGTGGAAGTGTACGTCATCATATCATAAAGTATATTTAATTTTGTGCATGATCGATATTTAGTGTTACCTCGGCGATGCATTTCGCTGTTCGACCTGCCCCTATCGAGGATTGCCGCCCTTTAAGCCAGGCGAGATCGTGAAGTTAAGCGCCGATCAGATGGAGCCAGATTTATGAATGCGTTGTCATCTTCCTCTCGCATTTCTGTTGAAACTGTGATGGTGATGTAGAGTCGCCTGATATATTTTCAGTCTGCTAAAAGCTACTTCTGTTGTTCCTGTTCGTTTACATACAGACTGATTGAAAGCCGTTGTCATGTGATTAAAGATTCGCTGTTTTATTTAGCTTTTTAATGTCCTTTTACCGCCGTTACCCGGCTCTACCTTTAAGTCATTGTATTCATGATGATAAATATTCGCATATACTAGAAATTGATGATTGCTGTTTCGTAATGAAAAGCGGTAGGCATAAATGGTAAAATTTTGCCATCTACATGGAATTAACTTTGCAACTTCGAGTTTATCTAGATGTCGAGCTTCGTCAAGAACCTGCCTTCGTTCAAAAAAGATAACTTTTCCAAAATAAGTGCTGAAGACAATCAGCGATGGATCGAGGTATGCTGCATGAACTGTTGCTACATCTTCATCCGTTGCATTTTTTTCGCTTTTTATTGACAGTAATTTGTTTAGTTGGCCAAACCTAAAACATACATTTCGACAGTGGATCACCCTTCGAAACAAGGTAAGCTGTTATTTTGTATACAGATATTTGACTTGAATTGTTCGACTTATTTGACGTTGTCGTCGTCCTCCCAGGATAAGAAAGCTTCAACAGCAGAGATGACAATTATTACCTGCCCGATATGACTTGGTGTCTTGCCTGTAGTTAGTGCCTATCGCACTGGAAAGTACAAAACAGGAAATGATCTTTTCTTAAAAGTCTTCACGTGTGTTGTATCAGTTGTGCAGAAAGATGTATAATGTAGTCAGTTTTGTATTATGAGCACTCTTAGACTACTTGTTGAATTTTTCATGTCCTTTATATATACCTTTACCTTGAGGACAAAGTTCAAGAAGGGATCGTTACAATTCACATAGACTAGTGATTGGACTTTAGCACTATATTTCGGCGTAAGAACCCATACTTTGGGTTACTTTGCAGAAGCTTAAAAGGGACACTGGCTTTTCAAGTTTCCGGGTGTGTGAAGACTATTGCTGTAGCCAGTAAATGATGCCGGTTTTGGGCATGTCATGTATTAAAGCTCCGGTGTGCTTGTCTCCTTCAGACAACTCAGAGCAAAGGGGCGATGCAATAGGTTTTGAAAATGGTGATTAACGGAGCTAGACGATGTCGACATTCACCAAGAAGCATCATCATTTACTACTGGTCTTTAATAGAAAACAGACTACCAAAGACCAGCTTGCCGTTCACGGACTTACTAGAATTTATGCATATAGTTATGAACATTTTTTGTTGGAAATGTTTGACAACATTGCAATATTTCCGTGCTTTTCGATTACTTAACTTTTAAAATTTTACGGGCCATGTAGCATCAACACCTCCAGTACCGTATCTACTATCTTTAAAGCCGCATCTTTCCTACAGATCTACAAATAATAAGTTAATGGATACAAATTTTACTGTTTGTATCGTTTCATTAAGATCAGACTGATTTCAATCGAAAACAAAAAGAACAATAAATATAAATACGACATGAATAGAAAGCTGATAAGTACAGATCATACTTCATGGAGTTGATCAGCCAGCGGCTAATAGTCCGATATCACCTATGGGCAAGTCGTTGTCTCACTAGCTCACGTCGGTAAAAGATGATGTTGCATAATTCTTAGATGCCTGAAATAGGTAGTACGAAGGAACGAGTACTACCGAATTACTGCATACTTCTGTGCATACAGATACAATAAGATATTTGGATATGGTGTTGGAGGTTTGTAATATGCTGATAGTTTATCATACAGACATTGATCTCCCGTCCTGAGAAGGCCAAGTAAGATAGTTTCTCGTTAGCCGTTAGGTTAGCTGCGAAGGTCTGTCATAAACGTAAAGTAGTCGGCAGATGAGGCATTCGCAATGGGAGTTCACTGAGCCCCTTATGTTACTAATACAGTTTTGTTTATCAGAAGGACATACAGAGCATAATCCGCGGTGGAAAAATTGCAAACCACTGTTCCATATTAGTTCTCGAAGCAAAAACAGACATTATTTCACAGTGCCGTTTTCCTTCAGAACAGGACAACGGCGTATGGAGCAGAGGGAGTGCAGGTCGAGAAACTGCTTTATACATGACTCGAGTTAATGAAGAGGTTACATTCTTGCGCTACGTCGATGGACAAGATCTGGAAAACCTGGAGTAGAAAGATGGCATTTGTCTTTATCAGAAATGAACGATTCCCATACTTCAGGTCGTTAACTAAAATGAAGTTTGTGCTGATTGCATCATCGTCTAAATTTTCGTCTCAAAGCTTCAGTAAAGACGGCAGGTAATCGTACCAAAATATTTGCATATAATTCACTGTTGTAAAGTACTGAAAAGTTCTGTTTGATTTTAGTCATTGTAGCAGAGAACGATAGCGTTCTACTACGCTATTTGCATAAGCGATGGGATAGGCAGGTAAAAAATTCAATATACATTAAGTTGCCAGTAATTGATTATGGGTGGTACTTTTTAGAGTGAATTGAGGAATCGCATTAACGTTAATCGTGTATTCCCGGTTGCAACATCTGAACAGAATACAACTTCAAACACAACGTCTGCCCAACAAAATGCCGATTCAAATTCTAATGGTAATGGGCAGCCGGCGAGAAAGTTGCGAAGAAGATCATGAGAACTGACTAGTACGAGTTTTTCAGGAATCTGCATTCTGCATGGAACCAGAGATTGTTAAGTTATTTCACGAACTGACAACGACGGATTAAAACATGAAAAAATATTTTCGTCTGATTTAATAGCAGCCAAATTCGTACAAGCTTTGTATACATTTGTAATGGTGTTATGAAAAATTGTCCTTATCATTAGCTGCTATCGCAGATTCGTTCTGTTCTTGTGTACTCGTAATTCACTAGTCGCTGACCAACCAGGTACCTAAAATCGTTTTCACACGGGATGGTAATCATGCAAAAATGGGGTTACCTTTCATTTCGGATGTGAATCAACAGATTTCGAAGTTTATTCACTTGCCAGTAGAGAAACACGCCGAAGACAATTAGAAACAACAGTGATGGATAGATCTGCTTTTGGCAAATCACTTGCTCTTCTAGAGAAGCACCTACAAATTTAATAATACAATGGTTACGGGCCCAATTCACGTTATTTGCGTACCAAATACTGGCAAGACGCTGTGCACTATCACGTAGGGAACAGATATCGCAAGTCCTAAAGCCATCACGATCGGCATCACCAGCTCCGAGTAGAAGCTCTTCAAATTTAGGTTTCGAAGTCCTTCTTGATAAGCCTGAAACAAGGTAAGGAAATAAATAACCACAGTGTACAATGATTTAACATGCTGTAAAACGTACCCTTTCGAACACACGCTTCAGCGAACACTCTGGTCCAATCAGAATCAGCGCGCACAAAATTTTGCAGTGTAAAATGCCGAGCACCCATTCCTGACAATGGCAGTTGAGATGGATCACCAATGGACAAGCAGGAAAAAATTACCTGCAATGGAAAAAAAAGAGGCGAACCATAATGGTTCACTCGTAACGGCACAACCACTATCAGCTCGAACAGCATCCCAAGGAGAAAAGCGATGACGCCAAACAGGGCGAATCCAGCTGCCACACACTTGACACACTACAATATTGAGTAAGTTAAGTATGTTATAAAAAGCGAGGATGACGAGCTATTATTTAGTGAACACGGACATATTTCTAAACATGAAATGAAACCGACAGCGTTATCCGAACATGCATATATAGTATGACAAATACTTTAATAACATGTTTGAAAGATTATACGTTGATGGACAGGTGGATGAAAAACAGATGATTGTTGTGAAGCTTTTTAACGCTAGTCGATGGCTGCTTCGTTAAATATATTAAATGACGGTATACATCGATGAAAAAAGGAAGGCCTTACGCTTTGTCGTTGACAGATAACCAGCCCGTCAGAAAGCATGCTATTCGTTGCCGGATTCTCATATTTATCATTATGTACCGATATTTCATGTAACTTATAGAATGAAAATCCCTTGTGTAATTCACAAAGGAGACAAAATTGATGGTAGAATTTCCATTCTTT